GAAGACATCATGACTAAACATGCTGAAGATTTACTTCGATCTCGATTCACTGAACGTCAAGAACAAATGAAATCAAAAAATACCACTCATGCCACCAACCAAGATGAAATCACCGTGATCAGCTCAAAGTCATTCAAGCAGAAGGTTCCAAAGGTATTTGAGCTATACAAACACGCCAACACCTCAAACGATCTGGGAGAATTGGAACGATATCTTCAAGGCTTAGACCCTCTCACCTTGGACGACCTGCACAAACTCATGGATCCCAAATGTGCTCTGGTTTGGTGGAGTGTTTGTCTTTTCTATTCCCTTTCTTATATTCACCTGTACATAGCTGAATTTGAACTAATATATAGGAGCACTCAAACAAGTATCCTGTTTTGGCTTCTTTAGCCCAGGATTATCTTAGCACCATGGCATCTTTGGCCCCTGGAGAACGTCTTTTCACCGTGGCTGGGCAGGTTTGTTCAGCCAATCAAGCATCCATGCGCCCCCAAACTATTGAGACCTCAGTTGGCAGTCGTATGTGGAGAAGACAAGGTGGTCCCCTACCTCGCTTGTTCAGCAAGGTAGAGAAGGTACTTGATTATGTCTCAAAGAAAAAAGGTCACAAATCTGCTTAGTGATTTCAAATGATGGATTGTAATTTTTTTCAATACCCACTTCTTCCTGTCTTTACCAAAGTCTCCTTTCTTCTTTGCTTTGATCCTTATGCCTTATGCCTATGCCAATTTCTTTTTTTCCTGTCTGTGTTATGCTTCTTTCTTATTCTTGTTTGTGGATCGTTTTGGTCTTTATATACTACAATACACGGTTTTGACCAAATTTTTTTGCACCGACGCACTTTTCTTCGCTTTCTGAGGTGCGCTGACGTTTTCGGAGGTCCTCAGATGGACCACAGCCGCTTTGCCGCTGAAATTTTTTGCCCACCGGTAGCGACTGCTGAAGTTACTACTTGAGATTCTCGACACAATCGCTGCGCATACAAAAAACTTGAAAAAAGCTTTGCGTAGCGCAGCGTGCCAGCATTGTTGGTGTGATGCATTGCACAGAAAGTGGCTGCTGCTTTGCTGGATCACCACTTACCGGCCACAAAACAATCAAACAAGCTTTGAATTCGTGAGTTGTTGTTTTTGTTGACTAGAAATAACATGATTGGAACCAAATGACATCTAATCAAATTGTTTCTTGATTGTAGTTGTAAACGTTGTCCCATAAGCGACTGTGAAGGCCTCCAAGTGCATGTGGCATGTAGTGCATGATGTAGAGTCAACATTGAACACGGTGGATGGTGTTTGTTACAACATCAAGGATTTCACCACCATGTCTGGCCAGAATCAAAAAAAGCAGACCCAATTTCCAAGGCCAAGATAGAGGAAGTTGTTATCAACAACCCCTCAAGAGGTCCTATTGGTCTCAAGGTATGTAGTTCCTTTTTCATTTCTACTGTTTTTACAAACAGATTTTTCACAAAACAAAATACTCACATATGAATTTCATCATTCCTTTATTAGGTCGGAGAAGCTCATACTGGAACTTGTCCCATCAAGTATACCCTTCTGTTTTATTATACCCTTCTTGACACTCATTTTATTGCATTGCTTCCAATTCATTCTGATTCATTCTTTTAATCAATTTAATCATTTCAACCTTTTTAATCATTCTAGTACTATGCTTACAATTCATTCTGATTCATTCTTTTAATCATTTTAATACTGTTTTCCATATCCCTAGCCATTCAAAAGGTTTCCTAAGCGTACAGAAGTACTAAAGGAAAGATTTTGAAGCGGCTAAGAGGATAATGGCCAATCTAAGGGAAGTTAAATGATTTCCTACGCGTACAGAAGTACTGAAAGGAAAAGATCAAGGTAACAAAGATAAGTGGCTGAAGGAGAGTTGATGATTTCCTACGTGTACAGAAGTACTGAAAGGAAAAGATCAAGGTAACAAAGATTTTAGGTGGCTGAAGGAGAGTTGATGATTTCCTACGTGTACAGAAGTACTGAAAGGAAAAGATCAAGGTAACAAAGATTTTAGGTGGCTGAAGGAGAGTTGATGAAAGGTGACAAAAAGTCACTTGGATGGACTCTCTATTAAATAGCATGCCATTGTCAGGTTCAGAATGAAACTTGATCTAGGGCTTTATGGATTGGGAACAGCCCTTGCTAATTGGAAACAATTTATTCAAACTGGTTTTAACAACCAATTGACTGGCTTGGGTCAGATTGGGTCTCATTGCAAACTGCTTGCAAACCAGGCCAAGGCCAAGGTAGGTTGTATAATCACTTTTTCATTGTATTAGTACTGAGGTCCCTGACCATGAGTAAGGGAGTCAGGGACGTTCCGAGGGCTGCTATCCCTGGAAGTGAGTGAGCTTCCAATCGCGACCTGAATTGCATCCAAGCCACAGTGCGACCTTCTCGTGTACAGGAAGGTGGCGTCTTGGGGTTACCTTTGCCACTTTTCCCTTTTTGCCCAGTTTTGCCAAATTCCAACAATAATCAAATTTTCTGCTCAGGTCGGTGTAAAATTGTCGGTGCAAAATTGCATTTCGACATGTCTATCTACATTTTTACACTGACAGTTTTTACACTGAAATTCACATAGTGTAAAACTTTTGGTGCAAAAATAAACCTTGAGGTACTTAATCACATTTTTACACCAAACACTTTTGGTGTAAATCCTCTGGTGTAAAATTCAATATTACCACTGGGTACAAGAGTTTTACACCAAAAGTTTTACACATACTTTTTTTACACTGACAGAAAAAAAATCAAAACGGTGTAAAATTACCAAATAAGGGGGTCATTTGGTAATTTTACACCGAGTCAAGTTTACACCAAAAAACGTCAGTGTAAATGGCACGGTGTAAAATTCTCCCACCCGATTTTTTATCAATTTGCGTGAGCAAATCAGTAAATTTACCAATTGGCTAACACATGCGGTACGCACATCACGACTTGTTCCTAGCAACTTTAACTCCAAGAACTTGACTCAACCCAACCTCCAATACCAAAGTCAACAACAAACATCTTCTTTTCACTTCTCACACCCAGTCCCGTGAATCAAATCAATAAGGGCCGGTTCGCCTGATTTTGAAAAAAATCATTACAAAAAAACAACTTTTCAATCTTCCCCTAAAGATAAAAATGGAGGGGCAAATGAGGCCAAAAACTCTTTTTGGTCTCAAAAACAGCCTCAGGGCTGTTTTTCAAAATTGAAGATTTTTTCATCAAAAACTGTTTTTGGTTTTGATCAAAGACCATTGCCGAACGCTGGTCTTTTTGTCAAACACCAAAAACCGCATTTGGCCAAATACGGTTTTTGGCTTTGGTGGAGTATTTGGCCAAAAACTGTATTTGGTTTCCAGCCGAACGGGCCCTAACATTGAACACCAACTGTCAATCAATGTTTTTACAACCATTATTTTTCTGTTTTTTTTGTTTTAAAATAGGTCGATCAAACATCTTCAACTTGACTTGAAGTTGAAACCAATCCAATCAATGTGATGAATTTGAGAAGTCACACAGCTATATAGAGATAACAGTTGGAAAAATCTTATTGAGGACTGATTAAGGAACATATTGGTGCATGTGTCCACTAGCTGCCTATCACTAGGTGACATGTAATGGACATGTCACGAATCTTGTTACGGATTTGACCAGAGGAAAATAAACGAAATTTGTCCTACCTTTGCTAGAAATTTGTCACAGCTAGTCCTCAAAGTACTCAATTCAAGAACCTCAAATTGAATAAATCTTTTTAGCTTTTTTTTTGGGGGGCTACTAAAAAGTGCCCGCAAATAAAACCTGAGACCGCCCGCTTTTAGAATCCGATGGTTACTAAAAATGTTTGACTGAATTGTGGTTCAGTCCCGAGGTAATAATTTGTAAGAAATCACACGGAAAGCGGGCGGTCTTGAAAATTATCAAAAACCCTACAAAACCTCCCGCTACATACCCACATCTCATCCTTCATATCAATCGTTTATCTCAACTGGATTGTGCAGCTAAACTTGAAAGACATTCAAAGCACTGAACACGATCAGACCCTCTCAGCACCCCCTCAGGCTTGACTACATATCCTCTGTCAATGAGGCCAGAAGCCTGACAGGATTCAAGGCTCTATTTGAAGGGTTCCCCAGAGTTTGATGGCTTCACTTGGTCCGGCCAAAGTCTCAAAGGTTGAGGCTAGAATCAATATTACTTGGATTCAAAACAGTTTTGTGGATTCAGGGGTTTATTGCAAATTTGCATAGCCTGTAAGTTGAATAACGGGTGGTAAAAAACCTTTCAAACCAATGCAAGACACATCTTATTGCATTCCCGAATTTCTTTGCTTCAACAAGCAAGACATGTATGCAATGAATGCCAAGAAGTTTGTGGTGTTTGAAGCGAGAGAGGAAAAAGAAACAAGTGCTAATCAATCATAGATTGACCAACTATTTTTGTGACTTTATCCAACTCTTGGATTAGCAACAGGCAGATCGAGGTCTTCAAACACCAATCACATTGCCAACTTGGGTAAAAGAGACTGGCAGACAGAGGGGCAGTTCTAGCCTCATCGAGTTTGAATCTAGCCAAGTAAAAGCCGTTTGTGAGTGTACTCGTGTACTCAAGATTGCTTATCTTAACACCAGCCCATCAGCCAGAGGTTTATAATTATGGTATAGAGCTTGGTTAGAAAACAAGAAGAAACACAACAACTTGCTATCCTGGTTGTGAGATGTGGGTAGCGGGAGCCGGAGCAGGAGGTCTTGAAGGGTTTTCGATAATTTTCAAGACCGCCCGCTTTCCGTTTGATTTCTTACAAATTATTACCTTGGGACTGAACCACAGTTCAGTCAAACATTTTTAGTAAACACCGGATTCTAAAAGCGGGCGGTCTCAGGTTTTATTTGCGGGCACTTTTTAGTAGCCCCCTTTTTTTTATTATAAAGTGACATTAAAAATACTATCAACTAAAGAAATTAAATCAAACAAGAAAAATTAAAAAACAAAATGTCATTTCAAGTTCAATTAGATCAAACTCGTCAACAATTGTATCAGAGTCAAACTCAACCAAATCAGAGTCAACCAGATCCGAATCAAAATAAATTAGACCTGACGAGAGAGAAATCAATTCAAGCAAATGGTGATCAAGTAATCCAAAACAAGGAATCAAATCGAGTATTAACACAAGCAGAGGCGGTGGCGAAGGGGATCCAACCAGGCCAAAGACTTCAAACTCCTAGACAAGGTGCGATTGGCAAGAATACTAAAAGAGGAAGCAAAGGTTCAAACCGTAATCCAAAGAGCCTTTGTGGAGTTGGTATTCCAAAACGAGGTCGTCGCCCGATTGGAATCAAGAAAGCTAAAGGGATTGGAAAGAGGATGGATGGATGAGATTGAGGAGGTTGATGGCTATTTGAGCAAGGTTGATACGGGGTACCTTACAAAGTTGATTCTGAAATTATAAATGAAGTTTTTGTATTGGTCTCACAAGGAACAAGCTTCAAGATAAAGTCTCTTTGTCCTCTTACTTCCATATTGTCTTGAGTTGGCTCATAATTTTCCTTGATTCAAAGCAAGTGATTAATTTCAAGGGATCATTCACTACAAGAGAACACAACAACTAAATGAGAAATTACTAACAAAAAATGAGATAGAGTTGATTTAATAAAGCTTGTTGGAACGTCTTGCAGGATCGGGCATAGAGGCGATGTTAGAGCATCCGCACTCGTTTGCGGTTGTTAACTTGGTCACGTGTGGTAACAAACACAACATTAAGTAAAAAGTTACTTAACTCAACCAAATTTCGCACTAGTTTGCATTAGCAGCGCTGTAAGTTTTATAAATTTACAGATAGTGCATGTGCTCCGCACCAGTCATGCAGTAAGGTAAAGTTTTGATTTCTTGAGTACAAATCACCTGCCTTCATTGCCAGTTTTCATATGATAGAGGCACTGTTCTCTTCTTTGCACTAAGATACTTTCAAATACTCCATCTACACATGAAGATCCGATATCATCCTGTTCATCTACTCGATCGATAGATCTTAATTTAAAATTACAAATTTAACATGAGTTTGTTCAGATACTTAATACATGAATTCCAGTTAAAAAACAAAGGCTTTACTACATTGAAAAAGCTTTTGAAGAGTCTGAATACACATAATGATCTTGTAAAAGATTTAAAGATTTAAAACTAGGAAATAAAAATCCAAACTTCAATTCTTAATTTGTATCACTTGATCCTAAAAGTCCTCCAGTGATTGGTCTTTTAATGTCGATTTTCTTAAATATTGACCTCTACATAGCTATATTAATTTAGACATCTTTCATTTTGATCATTCAAGTTAAATTCAAGTTAAAGGAGAACAATGAATTCCAACAAAATCAACAAATTGTCCAAAACCTCCACTGTTGCCGCTGAACAAATTCATGTTTCAACCAAGCAAAGTTACGGTCAAGCGAGATTTACTTTTTTCTCTTTCATAAACAATCATTCATTACAAGTTAAACTTCAACCATGAAATAGTTTATCCAATCATCCACCAATCTTCATCATTCGTTTGCATTAGATCATATTCAAGTTGAAGGCAAACCAGCAATTGATACAAAATTGACAAATTCAAACCAGATGCACAAATTGTCTGCTCTTTAACTGAAGAAATCCAAGTTTAAACTAGCTGAAGTTTGGGCCCTGCAACAATTAGATTTGATGTGCTTATTGCTTTTCACAACTTACCCTGATACCAACAGCAAATTGAATGGAAATACGCAGTGATTTCATTCGATTCCATCAGCCAAACTCGATTACAAGAACAATCTTCAACACCATTGGCTCAAAGAATCACATTTGAATATCTCATCAGTTGATTAAGTGGTGTCAATTTGGGAAGTTTGGTACATATCATTTACTTTCACTGCTTCAATCAGATCTTCAACTCCTAACCTCTCAACTTACTCATCACCAAACTCGTTCACAGACTAAGAGAAAAACTTCGCTGGAATCAATCATTCAATTTCATGACTCAACAGATGATTCAATGATTTTACTAATTCACTTTCAATAGGGCTTTGTGGACTATGAGGAAATCCCGATCAGCCAAATAACACTCACTTTATTCATCAACACCAGTCCCAACTCCAATCCCAAATCCAACACATCAATTGGGATCCAATGCCGCCAAAATTTCAAACCCGATTGGAAACGTCAAGCCAAGCGAGACAAGGGAAGCGATTCCGAGTAGCAAACGAAGAGAAAAATCTCGCAACGAGTCAGCTCTCGAACGCCCAGTCAGTCTTTTTCCCAAAACAAAAACCGAGGCAGCAAAGGATATCGCGGATACAATCTGCTTCACTTGCCTTCACTCTTTGGATGCCAAAAAGGATGACAACCATAAGCAGGACGTAAGACATCGGATGAAGAGCCCGTGGTCTCCAAAAGGGATCTGTGGTCTTATCATCTGTGTAAGCTTTCTTCACTCATTTGAATATCTCTCACCATCAGAGACATCTGTCAAAAGAATGATGTGAACGAGGCAAAGAGGATTTGATCACACATCTTACTCATGTTTCTACATTTTTTCATCTTTATATCAGATTACAATGGAGATAGTAAGTACAAAGAACAAATGTGAGGCGCGGTGATTGAACAACTAAGAGCACCCACACTCGTTTGTGGTTGTTAACTTGCTCACATGCGGTAAAAACCGCTAAATTAAGTAAAAAATTACTTCACTCGAGCAAATTCCACACTCGTGTCACATTACTTGCACGTTAGTTAACTAACTTGAGAAATGATTTGAGTTTCCACACTGGTACAAAGTTTACAAGCTCAAATATCAAGCACCCCCCAATTTTCACAATCCGCCACCCAATCCACTCGACTTCCTTCAATAAGCCGCAATGGCATCCAGCACATTGTTCTCATGCTACCCCAAGAGAGCACGAGACTTTATTCAATTTAACTCGCAATCTCATCACAGCTGGATGGTGGGCACAGGGAGGTTTGTAGAAAAGAATAAGAAATCCATTTAATCAAGATCATTTTACATAGCCCCCCTAAGTTTGAATGAGATAGACAAATTGAAGAAATCTTCATGATCCTTGTAAAATCAATCTATACAATAAGAAATCATTTTAGATTGATCTAAAACCCTTGTAAAACCAATCCACAGTGTAAGAAATTGAACTGCATCGATAGAGGAGTCAAGAGGTGTCGAGAGGTGTCGAGAGGAGTTGATTCAAGAGGTGTCGAGAGGTGTCGAGAGGAGTTGATTCAAGAGGTGTCGAGAGGTGTTGAGAGGAGTTGATTCAAGAGGTGTCGAGAGGTGTTGAGAGGAGTTGATTCAAGAGGTGTCGAGAGGTGTCGAGAGGAGTTGATTCAAGAGGTGTCGAGAGGAGTTGAGTCGAGTCGAGAAGATTTGAGTTGAGTCGAGTCGAGAGGAGTTGATTCAAGTTGGTGACTTGGAGAGCTGGAGAGTCAATGTGCTTGAAAAGTCAAAGACGGACTAGCAATTTTGATACCGCATGCGTTAGCCAATCGGTTAATTTAACGATTGGCTAACGCAAAACGATTAAAAATTAAGTACCGCAGGGCTAATTTTTCACCGGTGTGGAAAATACCCTGCGGTTGCGGTAAATTTAACCTTACCGCACTCGAGTTAACGCACAAGTGTGGATGCTCTAAGAATCGACTCAAAACTCTACGGTGGCCCCAAGGCAAAATCGCCGCCACCCCTTTGTGTGATTTGCGTTGTGTGATTTGCGATTTGTGATCTTTACTCGCATCATTCAAAAACGTCCCAGATACTTTCCTCACTGCTTCTCACTCATCCTTTCAGAACCCCAGAAATCGATTCTATCTTGATGTAGACCACAACATACGAATGAAACCTTGCGAGTGCATCAGACGTGCGATCGGCAATTTTTCAAGATGAGGACATCCTAGACAAGTGATCGTCATCAATCCAAGGAAGCGACATCAATGACGAACTGGGAACTTCTATGGTATCTACTTATCATGAAATGGGACATAGGAGAGGCCTCTGAGGGCTTTGTGAAGCTAAGAAGAGGTGAGAATTGGTCGCCATCTCACCTCAATCAACTTTTGAAGATTCTACTTTGATTGTGACGCTGCATACACTTATGCCATCAAGGTACGCGTCTATCAGGGAGATTATCACGTCAAGAAACTTGATCAGCGACTCGATTTGGGGTAAGATCAATATTGAACATATTAACTGCTTAGTGATCACCCATACCAAAATGTAGGTTACTTCTGTCGATTCCAAAGTTCAGCCATCCGCATCAAAACATGGACCCAAAGCTTTACACCAGTGTTACATCAAATGCTGGTGCAATCTTCATTGTTCAAGTCTTTAGGAGAATACAGTTGAGTAGGACTTCTCCTCAAACTTATCGACTGTTGCTCTCAATCACCATGCTCACTCACTGAATTTCATATCATTGACTAATTTTCTCACATTAGGATAAAGCCTTCCTCTTCGTTATTTAATCTCATTGTACTATGTACCTAACAATCATTTGAGGCATGCATGATGTTTTCATAGATGACTATCAAATATTTTCACCCAGAATAAGAGACTACTCAGAAGTGTACTAAATAGATACAAACTCTTGATATGATATTTTTGATACTTTGATCAGGATCACACTAACTGCCTTTGATTCACCCATGAAAAATAGCCAACCTATCTGATTTTGATTCTAATAACGGTTTTATTAGAGTCTCATGTGGTTTATATACCATGATCCAGTTGTAAAACAGCAGAAGTCGACATATTTTTCAGATGAAGATGGTCATTTGATGGAGATTCTTGAAGAAAAAATATCAAGTTGTCAGTCTCCAATTGATACAAAATGATAAGAGGCTGTGATTCATGGGTTCAAATCAATTTTGAGATTCGAACTTATCGTGTGTAATTTGAATTTTTGAGAGAAAAAAAAGTGTTTAATCCGCTTTTGGATATCTGGGTCAGCAACCTATGACAGAGTGAAGGTTAAGAAAGTGGTATATAGTCAACACTGAGACTGAAGAATGCGCTGGGGACGTTTTTTGATGATGCGAGTAAAGATCACAAATCACAAATCACAAAACACAAAACACAGAAAGGGGTGCCGGTGATTTTGCCTCAGGGCCACCATGAAACTCTCATGTGTTTCAGAAAGATCAAAGATGGTAAACATTGGCAACACCACTCCAGCAACTACTGTGAGTAGCTTTTTTCAAATCTCATCAATCAATGTCATAAGAACTCTCTTACAACCTCAGAAAAATTGATCTTTTTCAAGTTCTTTGATCACTTGAACTGATTTTTTTCTCTATTGACCAGGACAGTAACCAAGAACCTAAAACACAAATTACACTTTGAACCT